TGTTAGTAACCCAAAACTATAGAATATATTGACCGATATTAATAACATGTCCTACTCAAATTACAATATTTTCAAACTTTCAAATGCTTCTAGAAAATATGATTAATTTGGAAAAATCATTTTGCCAAGGAGATGTGATTGTGATAATTTTTTCTACATAACAGCTTATAGTTTTTATTTTAATTAAAAATTACTTATATTGTAAAATAATTAGTTGTCATCAGAATGTAACCAATCCAACCCAATTAGATGCTATTATTAAAAAATTTATTAAAACAATAATTAAATTTAAAAATAGTATATTGTTAGATCTGAAAGCACATAATCAAATTATACAAATAAAAGATTCAAAATATTCACAAAAATCTTAATTGGTTACATGATATATTTAGCTTTTAATCTTAATCTTAATATTTATAACATTTTAATTGGTTATAATTATGTAAAACAAATACTTAGATTGATATATTTTGACATTATTAATATGTTAGTATTATTTTTGAATAATATAATCCTCAAATCAATTTAGAAGCAATTACTAAACATAACTCTTGAAGGAAGTAATCCAGTAAGAGTAAGAAAACTAACCCTACTTTTATATATAATTAGTATGCGGCCGTGCGATGTATGGAGTGTGAAAAAATAAAAAAAATTAAATAAATAATAATAGTTAATAATTATTCATAATATAAGATGTTATTTGGTGAAAATAAATTCTTTAGTGCTAGCTATTGACACTTAAAAAGCACAAGCTAATTTCAAATTAAAATTTATAAATATCACAATAATTTTTCTCATTAAATTTTAAATTAATTTTTTTTGATTCACATGATATTTTTTGGTATACTTTTTGTAATTGTAATTATGATACAATTAAGATCAATTAAATTTAAAGCTATCTTTAAAATAAGTTTGAAAATGATAAGCTAATAATTAATCTTGTATTGATTTTACAAAAATGAAAATGGTGTAGATTTGTTTTTCACTAAATTTTATGAATGATTAGTATATTTTATTTTTTTTAAACATAACTTGCTATAAAAAGGAATGAATATAAAGAACAAAAGATCACGGTTGTCAAAAAATAATTTAGAAATCTTGAATCTTTACTAATTTAAATATATTCAACTATTTTTATATGTTCTATATTAATTTATTATTTTATTTTTAATATTAGCTTTACTTCTTATGATACATCAGACAATTAAGAACAAAAGAGTCGATTACTTAATATATCTAAAATCACATACCATGGTAAGAAATGCCAAATGTCATCCAGAGTCAAATTATACTCACACAATATGAAGCATGTAAAATATATTTCCTTCAAAACATTACATTCTTTTCACCTGTATATATAATAAAAATTGTTAAATGACATTCAATAGCAAAAATAAAAAGGACATCACCTAATTTCCTCACACTTGTTTTGAAAATTAAATAATCACAATAATTTAGCCATAGAAATATACAAAAGAGAAGAATATTATAATGTATTTAATCAAAAAATTTGGAATAAGGTAGTTTTATTTATTTTTAAATATTAAAAAATAAATAAAGCAAAATAGAATTAGGGACACGTGTCATCATTGTTAGGTATTGCTTGAGTGTATAATTTTCTTATTATTTTTGAATTAGAAATTTGAAATTATAAATAAATAAGTTAATGAAAAGTTGGGATAATGTAGAAATATTTGGACAATGAAGTAGTTTTATTTATTTTTTAAAATTGAAAAATGAATGAAGAAAATTAGAATTAATAGCACTGTTGGATGCTGATTGTAGTATATAATTTCTTTATTATTTTTAAATTAGAAACTTGAAAGTGTAAATAAATAAGTTTATGGAAAATTATGATAATTTTTTCATTAATTTTAAAATTATAATTTTGAATTTTATGTATTATTTGAAATTATATTTTTAAAATTATGAATGTGTAAATGAAAAGTTGAGATAATGGAGAGATATTTGGAGATAAGATAGTTTTATTTATTTTAAAAATTTAAAATTAAAAAATAAATAAAGTAAAACAAAGTCAGCGACACATGTCGTCGTCATATGTTATTTGTAGTTCTACTTTTTTAAAAAATTGAGATAATGAGGTAATGCTTGAAGGAAAGATAGTTTTTATTTATTTTTACAAATTAAAAAAATAGAGTAAAACAAAATTAGGAACATGTGATTTCATTAAATGCTATTTGCGGTTATACTTTTTTAAGAAATTGAGATAATGTAGAGATATTTAAGGGTAAGGTAGTTTTTTTTCTTTTAAATTTAAAAAAATAAATAAAATAAAATAAAATCAAGGACACATGTCATCATTGAATGTTACTTACGGTTCTACTTATATATATAGATTTATTAGTGTAATTATTTTAATATAATCAATGATTAAATAGTCAAAAAATCTTGAAACTTTTTTTCTAAGGATACTTGGCATCCTAAAAGTTTTTTGGAGCATTTTTGCTTTGTAAACTTAAAAAATAGGGCATTTTTGCCCCACTGATAAAAATCCTTAATGTTGATCGTTAAGTGAAGTTTGACTAGTGTATTTTATGATTTTTCCCTCCTTCATTTATATATTTTTCAATATTCATTTTAATTCATTGAAAGAAGGAAAGTTAAAAATTTTACTAAAGAATGAAATCAGAGACTAAGCATAGAAAAAAAGAGAAAAAAATAAAAAAATATCCTTGATCAAATTTTAGTTAACGGTCAACGTTAAAAATTTTTAATGGTGGGACAAAAATGCTCTATTTTTTAGATTTTCAAGGAAAAAATCTTCTAAAAAAATTTAGGATGCCAAGCATCCTAAAAAAAAAAGTTTTGAGCTTTTTTGCCTTCTAACCCTATAATCAAAGTTCAATTTTTATTTAAATTAACATTAATGTAGAAATTTGATAATTTGTTAATTTTAATATATACTTATTTTAACATTTATTCAATTAAACTGTAATTATAATCTTAATTTTTTTAAATGACTTCTAAGTATTATTTTCATTATTCCCAAAATATTTTTTAGTATTATATTTTAAATTTCTACACATGAGATGTAATTTTACAAATTTAAGGGTTAATATACAATTTGAATCCTGAACTATAGATTCAGGGGAGATTTGAATCTTAAATTTTTAAAAAGTATATTATGAACCCTAAATAATTAAAATTGGAGAGAATCACAAGTAAGGATCTTATAAAAATATTAATGTTAAATTAAGAACTTTAGTATCGAAACATGCTAAAAGAAGTGCTGAAATTTGAGAACGTTAGTATTAAAAAAATTCTTATTTAACATTAATATTCTCACATGGTCCTTATTTGTCATTCTCCCTTAACGTTGGGGTATTTTCATTCTCATTGTTAAATTTGAACAAATGTCCATCAAATTGAGGTTTAATGTAAAATTTTCATTAAATTCTACTGTCCCTCTCTCCCATACCCTATTTGAGAAAAATTGCACATTAAATCCCATACTAACGCACATTTGTTTAAATTTAACAGTGAAAGCAAAATTACCCTCACTTTAATTATTTAAAGTTTAGAATGTGTTTTTTAAAAAATTTAAGGTTTAAATTTTCCTTGAACCTATAGTTTAAGGTTTAAATTTTCCTTGAACCTAATATTAACATGAATTTAAAAAATGAACTAATCAATTCAACCAGTTGAACTGAGTGACTCAAAAAAAAAAAAATCAAACTTTTAAAATCGGTCAAAAACCTATCAAACACATCAAAAACCGGTAAAACTGAAAAAATCAAAACCGATTCATACTGCAAACCGGACAAAGAAAACAAAATGCAAGACAAAAAACCAAAATTCTTGTTTGCTACACAAATGAGCCCAGAGCTGTAATTTTTCAAACCTCAGGCACATGTTGCATGCAGTGCGTTAGGACCCACGGCCCTTTAATATAGAAATTGCTCCTCCACTCTCTTCTTTGGTTGTTCGACGTGGGACTTCGGTACAGGAGCAGTAATACTAATTTGTATGTAAAAGAATGCTTTTTTTTTAATTATCGTTAATGTTTATTAATTATTTTACTTAATCGTTAAATTATTTTTATAATATAAATACAAATCTTTAATTTTTATACTTCTAATTATTTATCTATAATTTTATATAGTGTTTATCTCGTAAATTTAGCTCTTTCATTTTTAAATGTTTCTCATCAATATTATACACTAATAAAATGAGTTTTCATTTAAAAAAAAGAAAAACTTTATTAAATATCATTTTATAAATTTAATCTTATACGTTACTTATAATGTAATATTTAATATATAAACATGTAAACATAATAATTTAATCATAAACGGTTCGATAACGGTTTAATCATGATCCAATTATTGACCCTTAAATTAATGACTTATCCAGGTCAACGACTAGTCAAAGTTTTAAAACCTTATATATTAACCCTAAATTTAATACTAATTTCTTATAATTTTGGTATTGATATTGTTTAAAAATAATTGTAATATTAGTTTTTGATAATCTTCAACCAATATTTTTTATTTTCAACAGTCTTTTCCGTATATATAATTTATAAACATTTTTTTGTTTCAAATGCATGATTGAGCTACGTGGTTTTTTGATGAATTAATAAAAATGTTATTGTCTGTCTTAGATGGGAGTAAAGTGTCATTTCGCCGCTACAATTGGGTTGGGTTCACTTTCAGCTCCACGATGACAGGGCACCGGCACACAGTGTAAACAGCTCAGCTCATCTTCATCCCTGCCGATGTCGTTGTCACCGTCAAAATCAAGATTTTAACGTCTCTGATCTATCACACCATCACCTACACTCTCTCCTTGAGTGCCCTAAGTCTAATAAAAACATCATTTGGTTATATAGCGCGCGCGAGCGCATATATGTCATATGATATGGACATGCATGCATGAGCACACATTATTACAACATTTGTGCCCAATGATCTTATCGAAAACAATTGAATGATCTCGTAATGCATCGACTACTAGCAGTCGTACAATTAGTTAGCTCCAGAGAATAGAAACTGGGGGGGGGGGGAATCAAAAAATAGAGTGAGAACTTGAACTACCATTCTTATGGTTCCTACTGTTCCGTTCTCGTCGCACCCACCAACCATTGGTTTGCCTGGATTTGTGTCTGTGCAGAAACACATTTGAGCTCCATAGCTCCCCAGTGTCTGGTAATGCAATATCACCATGCCCACAGCTCACGACAACATTCTCTGTCTCCTCTCCCTTCTCTTCTCCCTCACAGTCACGCCCACTCTGTCTTCCTCCGCCGCTCGCCGGCTCCTCCATCAACCATTTTTCCCCAAGGATTCCATCCCTCCCGGCAAGATTCCCTTTTCGTCTCCTTCGTCCCCCTCTCCAACTCCAAGCCCAACACCCAAGGCTTTTTTCCCTTCTTACAATTCCCCACCAATCCCTCCTCCTCACCCTGCTCTCACCACATTTCCAGCTAACATCTCCTCCCTTCTCTTCCCCCGACCCTCTTCCCTCCACCGGCCCCCCGTCATCGCCATCGCTATCTCTGTCTCCCTGCTCTCCGCAGCTCTTGTCGCCCTTCTTGTCTTCTTCATTTACTACTGTAAATACACCACTGCCAACAAGGCTTCAAGATCTGACAGTCTCCGATTATACCCCCCGAACACTCTGACTTTCGATGCTATTGGTAGTCATAAGCCTCGCTCAGCATCAGGCCACAGCGCTGGCACCAGCTCGGAATTTCTCTATCTGGACAATGTGTTAAATTCACGAGAAGCTTGTGCTACAAGTGCTATGTATTCTGGCAACGGTAGGCTGAGTATGGGCAATTCTACCTCACCATATCGAAGACTGAGGTCGCCCGAACTCAAACCGCTTCCGCCATTGCCGCGTGACAGAAACAGGGGGAATTGCGAAGATGATGAAGAAGAGGAGTTCTTCTCTCCAAAAGGGTCTTTAGGCCGCAGACTGAGTCCTGTGCGTACTGGGTCAGGGAGAGTGCTTCGGTTGGGAATGGATAAACTTGGGTTTGGGAGTACAAGCTTCGATTCAAGAACACCTTCTCCCCCTTGCTCAAATTCTGCATCGCTCACTTCTTCCCCTTGTTTGAATTTGAGTCGTAGGCATTCTTTGGAGCTTCAGCGCCCCATGACATCCTCCTCACCGTCTTCACCGGAGATTAACTGGAATTTTCCAGTCTCAGAACAGAGGGATAATTCTGAGGCCACAATTGAGGTAAATGTTCCGATCAAGAAGCCCCCATATCCTCCGCCGCTTCCGCCTCCACGCTTTTGGGAAGCATCTCCGAATGACAATGCGGAGGCTCGAAAGCCAAAGTTGAAACCTTTACACTGTGAAAAAGTCAGGGCCAGCTCGGATCGGGCCATGGTTTGGGATCAGTTAAAACCGTGTTCTTTCCAGTAAGAGGAACGCGATCACTTCACTTATCCTTCTATTTGCAACCACCCCGTCTTTTCTTGTTCTTGTCCTCTTTTTTGGTCTTTATTTTTCTTTTGAAGCCAAATGATTTTCACTGAGGTGCAGATTGAACGAGGAAATGATAGAGACGCTTTTTATGGTGAATAACACCTCAAACTTCACTCTTAGAGATAATGCCGGGCGTCAAAACGTTGCTTCTCCCCCCTTGGAATACAGGTTGCTTGACCCTAAGAAGTCTCACAACATCTCCATTTTGCTGAGGGCACTCAATGTGACTATTGATGACGTATGCGATGCCCTCAAGGAGGGTAAGAATCCTTTTTGTCTCACATGTTCACTTAATGCTGTTCTCCACTGCATTTCAATGAGTGACTTTCTCTCTAGGGCCTTTGTTTCGCCTTTTCACTTAAAGTTCTAAACTTAAATTTGAGTGCCCTCTCGCTGCTGGAGACACGATTTCACCGGATAACTTGTTAGTGCTCGACGTTTTGCTCTCTCACTTTATGCCGTGCAGGCGTGCTCTTCTCTTGTGGTCTCCAACTACTGCCCCTATGTTTATAGCTGATCTCATCTTCGTAAAATTGTTGGTCTTGCCGCCATATCAAACTCCTCTCTTGAGCCGTAACGTGCTCATATCATTAATCATCTCGTGTGTGTCTTATACAGCAATTTATAGCCTTGTAAACCTATTTGTGTTTCTGCTTCTTTCTCTCCGTCAGACGCGCTTATTGGATTTCACTTGGTTTCTATGTCAGTGACATATTACAACTTCCTCTTCCTGATAATAGGCAATTGGGATATGTTGGGAACAGAACTTCTAGAAAGTTTGTTAAAGATGGCTCCAACCAAAGATGAAGAATGTAAGCTGAAGGAGTTCAAAGATGAATCAGCCTCCAAGCTTGCTCCTGCTGAGAAATTTCTTAAAATCGTGCTTGATATTCCTTTTGCATTTAACAGAGTTGACGCAATGCTTTACATTGCCAACTTCGATTCCGAATCAGAATACCTTAGGAAGTCCTTTGAGACTTTGGAGGTAAATATTATTTCCCCATTTATTTCTCTCTGGATTAACAGTGAATATGAAGTCGAAACAGTTCCCTTTCTGCATTTCCACAGAGAAAAATTATTGCAAGTTTTTTTTTGTCCCACAATATTTTATGACAACTATGTTCATAGATAAAAATCCAATTAAGGTGGAATGGATTTAAATCGATGTAACTGCTGCATAGATTGGTTTGTCAATTCTTTTTTTCTGTTCAAGTGGATCAGTTGTGATGAAGAAGATGAGCTTCAACTGAATGGTCATTTATTTATTTTGGTGCTTGATGGGCTAAAGCTGACCATATTTTCACTAGTCTGGTCTTAAAAAAACAAGTGCGTAGCTAGCTGAAAATGTTTAAGCAAAATAGCAAATTATGCTTTATTGGTTCAGACAAGGAAAATTGTTCGGCTAATTTTCTGTGCAAGTGTTTGACAACGCAATCAGTTATTTTGGAATAGTGTGTGTGAGCATAATCTTTGGCAACCATTGGGGTCAGATAAGTAAAGCTTCAATCGTCAAATAAAAGCTGGAAAATCATTTTCCAACACTCAAGCAGATAGAGTGCGCCAGTAATGTTCTTATTGATTAAATATAACCAATCCCTTCCACAACCAATTCCATGTGGTCACTGGTCTGCAGGTTGCATTTTGCACTGTAATAGAAGTTCCTGCAGGTCTCTTATTTCATCCTTTTCCACAGGTGGCTTGTGGGAACTAAGGAATAGCAGAATGTTTTTGAACCTCCTTGAAGCAGTGCTAAGAACTGGCAATCGCTTGAACGTTGGCACCAATCGTGGTGATGCATATGCATTCAAGCTGGACACTCTTCTGAAGCTTGTTGATGTTAAAGGGGCTGATGGAAAGACTACTTTGTTGCATTTTGTTGTGCAGGAAATGGTCAGAATTGAAGGTTCTCGGATATCTGGTGCTTCTAACAATCACCAAACTGCTGAAAAGATCCTCCAGTCTACACTCCAGGATGAAGTTGAATTTAGGAAACTTGGACTCCAAGTTGTTTCAGGTTTGAGTGGGGAGCTCTGCAATGTAAAAAAAGCAGCTGCAATGGATTCAGATATGCTTAGCAGTGATGTCTCTAAGCTTGCCAGAGGGATTGCAACAGTTGCGGAGGTTATAAAATTGAATGGAGAGTCACCATCGAGAGAAATTAGCCAAAAATTTTCGGAGGCAATGAAAGGTTTCTTGAAGAAGGGAGAGAAGGAAATTGTTTCGATTCAGGCCCAAGAGAAGAATGCTTTCTCTTCAGTGAAGAAGCTAACGGAGTATTTCCATGGAAATTCTTCCAAGGAAGGAGCTCATCCGTTTAGGATTTTTATGGTCGTGAGGGATTTCCTCTCATTACTTGATCGCGTGTGCAAGGAAGTTGGAAAGGTAAACGAGAGAACTTTAGTAGGTTTCCTTCAATACTCAGAGCCTTCAAATCCCTTCCTGCTACAAATTTTCCCTGAGATTGTTGGTTCCTTGGATGATTAAAGCTCCTCTTGCTTATCATAGCAATGGGTTGTTTTCACCGCCGTGTGTAATAAGCTTATTCATTACAATTTCCCTTCATCAGTAGTTCAGTACTAAAATTATGAATGCCCGCCATCTGGAATTTTTAGTTTGTTCTCATGTATAATTTAAATACGCGAGGTGCGTGGTTGCAACGGCCAAATGAAAGAATCAGTGCAAAATTGTCCCCCAAAATTCACATTATTAATAAAATAATATCCCAAGGACAACGGCCAAATGAAAGAATCAGTGCGAGAGTGTAACTATTGTCCTTATCTGTAAGTACAAATGTATTAAATATCATGAAATGGACAATTTCTAGCAGACTTCAGGAGCTTACATATAACTTGCTCCTGCAACCTAGATAACAGAAAATGAAACGTTGCAGTTAAACACTCAGTTGCAGATGGTCTCCAGTTGACCCTGATTGCTTTGGCCACTAGATTACGTTCAAGCGGCCCCGTGCATTATTCTTCAACTAAGCTTTTACACCTTTTTTAGTTTACCCCGCAAACCGAAACCAGTGGTGCTTGAAATTCAAATACATGTATAGATCTTTGATCTTGTCAATTCCAACCATGACTGATTGTTTGTCCTCTAGTCCAACAGGTAAGTGGATCACATTTTTGTTTTCTCAAAAATATTACTGCTCTGACCCTGGTGAAAATCTACTGATTAACTACTGAACTTGGAGTCTTCAGCATCCATGCGTTCCAGCACCTTAATTGCTTCCTCTTCTGTGGCCGGAACAACCTGCCGAATCCTCAAACCGCCTTTCATGGCTTCCGGATTCACAGCAAAGGCCAGGTAGAATCTGTTGGATACCTGTTTGACGAGAAACAGAATAAACTCATTGAGTATGTGAGTTCGATGTAGTGGAGACGTGTTGAACTCAATATTGTAAAATAGCAAGGGAGAAAGAATAGAAAAGCAAACTCAGATAGTAATTTATTTTTGTATTCTATTAACCAAATATATATACACATATATTATGTTATCTTAACCATCTTGATTTATTAAATAATACTGTGCAGGGTAGGATTTTACAGGCAACAAGGCCCGTCGCTTTCTGCCTTTTTTTTTTTTTGGGGCGCTCTTTTAATATTAATAACTCTCATATTTTTTTTATTTATATTTTTGTTAAATACTTCACCTAGAGTTAATTAAAAAAATTTGATGCCAGTATTTCACCTCACTGGTCCGGAGCTCAGGCTTTGTAACATGCGCAACAACTTCAACATTCACCCGAGGTTCAGTCAGGTTTTCATGTTCTGTGTACAGAACACATGACTTGAGACGAAGAAAATTTCCAACATCTACCTGCATCGCCAAGTTGTCATCTATTTTATGTTTATAATTGCGGAGACGAAGCAGAGAACCATGTATATATATATATAGCCAAGCAAATTTATTTGTTAAAGCAAGCACATACAGCAAAATATATGACAATATAAGCATTTTAGTTTCACCCGTTTCATAATCGAAGTAAAAGCCATGCCACAGAACACTGAGAAGGTTTACTAAAAAAATGTACTGCAGATGCACTTTTCAGAATCAAGGGGTAGAGTATAACCAGAATCCTGTGCGAAAAAAAATACAGTACAATATAATTGGAACAAAAAGCGTCTTTAGTCTAGGCCATTCACAAGGTATAAACTTACAGGTTTAAAGAAATCAACATGGTCAACTTCTAAGAAATGCGGTGCCGCACCAGCAAAGACATAAGCTGTTGAAAAAGCAAGTTCAAATGCCCTTCTCATCAAAAATCCTCCAAAAATACGACCATGGATGTTTCGTTGCTGTGGCTGGCAGATAAAAGAGTTTTCTAGGCAAGTATCCTTCATCAGGATGCTATCTCTGTTAGCCAATGCTGGCATGTCACTGAAAATACGCCCTTCAGCCAATAGTGCACTCAGCCTGGCAGTGTCTCCATCCTGAACATGTTTATATTCTGCGTCTGCCCTCTTCAGTTTCCTCAGTCTGTTCCTCTGTTCTGCTTCTTCCCAGAGAAACCTTTCTTGCTCAGTTTCAGGCAAGATCTGGTTAATTAAGGCTGACTTTCCACTGGCGGAGTCACGGGCCACAAATGTGAAGTTGGCTATAAGAGCTTGTGTGTCTGAGGTACCAGCATTCCCTGCCAACATTTCAATTTCAGGCACAACGAACAATCAGCAGTCACACAGATGTTATTCCGAAACTGTTGCAGATTTAAAAGACAACATCTAAAATTATAATTTTATATAAAACCATAGCATGATAAAAATATAAACAATTAATGTGCCTTCGTTCATCTTTATTTGTTTATTATTTTTAAAATAAAGTTAATAAAAACTTTGTCAGAAAAGCAAAGCAAAGCAAAGGAAAAAAATCGCTGGCAAATTTAGGATGTACAACATGCAATATACTAAGATGACAACATACCATACCATACATGGATGTGAGCATGCTTCAGTTTTAAACTGCAAACTCATCTAGCTATCATTGGAGCGACTTTTTTAATAGGGGAAATTGCCATAAAATTCCTCCTCGGGAGGGAAATTGTTTAGAGTGACCAAGACAAATTTAAGGACCAAATGCACTCTAGACCTATCACTTTGCATGCCACACTTATGAACTTGCACACCAAGCCTATAAGTTTACACCTCAAGCCTATCACCTTGTCCCTTGCACACCAAGCCTATCACCTCACACCTTGCACACCAAGCTATCACCTTGCATACCAAGCCTATGATCTTGCACCATAAAGTTACACGTTAGCCTTTGAAAATGCCATGTAATTTACATACTTATAGTCTAAACAAACCGTTATCCACATTGTTATTTTCTTGTAAACTGTCACTTTCCAGATAATAGGTTGTATTTTCATGAAATTTGCACCTTATGATGTGGAAGGTAAATAGGCTTGGTGTGTAAGGTCATAGGCTTGTGGTGCAAGGTGATAAGTTTGGGATGCTAGGTCAAAGGCTTGGTATGCAAGGTGATAGGATCGGTCTACAAGGTGCAAGGTGATCAGGCTTGGAGTGCAAGATAATACATTGGAGTGTAAGTTGATAGGTCTGCTGCGCATTTGGTCCCTCGAAACAATTTCCTTCCCAATGAGGGATTTTATGGAAATTTTCCATTTTTTATACCCACAATGTATTGGCGCCCTACTTAGTTGACATTGTCATGAACAATCAGAATATCTGACGTACCAATTTTAATGCCAGATATGCAAGGTACCGCTGCATTATGGGTACAATAGAACTTTCCCTATAGTATCAAACAGCTCAGTAGTTTTCAAAGCATTAACAAAGACTACATATGTAAAGATATTATTAAAGAAAATTCGTAATACGAATTACATATGTATTAACATTAACATCTCATCTGTCTCATAGTATGTAGTTACGGACTTGAACAATCAAAAGCATCATAGGGGGAAAATCACATCCCAAAATGTATTTACAATGGCCAAAGGAACTCATAGCATGTAGTTACGGACTTGAACGATCAAAAGCATCACAGGGGGGAAATCGCATCTCAAAATGTATTTACAATGGCTAAAGGAAGCAGCATTATTTTTGTATTGAACTAGTAATCCTTCGGCCAAAAAGAAAAAAAGAAAAGACACAAGAACTAGTAATCCTATAGCACCTTGTGTTGACTGAGTGAGTTCCAGTTGTATCTCCATTGATGACCGGCCAACCCATGTAACAGCACCGCCTATAGTCAAATCATTGTCAACAAGAATTGGTTTCTTTAAAACCATTTTGTCAACGGAAGCAGTAACCAATATAAGCGGTCTTGTTGTGCCATCTTCATTGCAAGAGTGCTGTTCAAAAGAGAAGTGATCAACTTTTAAATGGCTGTTTCATTCAACGTTGGAACGACGCAGAGGAGAAACTGGGTTTTTTTTTTTTTTAAATAATCTTGAATTGCTTCACGATACTGTCCATTATAATCATGAATAAAGTAAATTGATGATTTTTGATCACAGCTGCCAAAAGGGAAATTGGACATAAGCATTAGGAGGGAAAAGGCTTGAGGCATAAGTGTCCTTGCATTAACTTGAAGGAAATGCAAGTCAAACAACTGGAGAGATGAAAGCCTGCGCGAAGGATTTGTTGGTCTTATACGCTAAAAGGTACCTTTTTGACGGAAGGTCATAAAAAAAAAAAATTGAAGTGAGCAAGTTAAAAGAAAACAATAAGGACCTGCCAAATTTGCCATAAAATTGCCGTAATATGAAATCACACCTTAAATGCAATGGTTCCAGCTAGAGCATCAAGGTCCTCGACCAACTTCCCCATCCTAATTTGATTCCAAGGGTTCCTATACTGCTCTCTGAGTACATAGTCAGAAGCGAAGTCGTAAAAAATACTCGTCCTGCTGCGGGAAGGTGTTTTGGAAATGAGTTGCGATTGTGAAGGCACATAAGCGTGCTTTTCGAAGATAGTGGATCTTGCTTCCCACAGAGCCTGTGTGGCAGGTGAATGGTAAATGCCTGGCCATAAACTAATGGGTTTGCGGTTAGATGAGCTTGCATTAATAACAGGCAGAGATGGTTTGGGGTTTATGGAATCAGAATCAGAAGGTTTAGAATTTGAAAAGGGGCCAGCAATTGCATGTAAAAGAGAATCTTTGAAGGAAATATTTCTGAAAAAGGTTTTCAACCGATTCCACGAAGGTGCGTTGGCAGTGGAAAAGAAGAACGAGGATCTGAGAAGTTCCCTTCTCATTCTGACTCTCGGAGATTGCATGGCATCGATCCAAGAACGGCGTTAACACAGAATGGAGGAAATGCTTTGAGTGGGGTGAATACTAATGTGAATCCGTAACGAGGGAATTATACGGATCTTGGAAAGTTGGTGCTCTCCTTCCCCGCCCCAGGCATGGATTTGCCGGGAAATTGGGGGTGGGGTACTTGTTACTTTAGATTTTTCATTTTAAAATTACTATTATTATTTTATAAATCTAAATTCCTTTTGAGAATGTTCTATTGAAATTTTAATTTTAATTATTAAATTATTTATATAAAATATTTAATAATAAAAATAATAAAAAATATGTATAATTTTTTTAAATTCAGATTTTAATTAATTTTTGTAAAATAATAACCAATATTTTATATTATAACCCATAAAGAAAATATTTCTCTTGACATTTTCAAGTCACTAACTCTTGAACCCCTCATAAAATGATCCCACCCACCTATTATCGTCTTACTGTGGAGACCAATTTTGCTATCCCCTTTAATCCTATTTATAAAATATTTTTTAAAAATAATTTTTAATTTAAAATACAAGATATCTTATAATGATTAAATTATTTTTTCAATTTTGCTCCTTCTTGATTAACATAAAAATATTTAATATAATTATATTATTATTTAAAATTAAAGGAAAAAATAAAAATACATATAACTTTTTTATGATACTAAAAAAAATTTACCTTTTTTAATTTACATAAAACGGTTGACTGGAGAGAATATTATAACTCTCTTTGCTAATACTTTCTTTTTACTTATTATCTTGACAGAATGATGAAAAAGTTCTAGCTTTTTCATTCCAAATAAGTAGAGTTGGGAAAATGGGCCGAGTTCATCGAACAAGCTCATTTAAGCCCATATAATAGTAGCCCGTTTAATCCTGCATATGCATATTTTTTTAATTAATTTTCATAACTTTCACTCTTTTTAAATTTGAAAAAAAATTAAATTAAATTTTACTCTACATCACATGTTAGCTCATATGTACTAAGTATGGAAGGCCAAAAAAAGGAAAATAGCCATGAAGAATCACTAATCAAAAATTATACCAGTTAAGGATCACTTATTATCAAAATTCAAGTAGATACTTGTGGATTTGAGTTAGCTTTTATCAATAAGTATTCATTTAGGTTTTAATAACAACTCATTTTAAATTAACAACAGTTCATTGTAACTTGTTTTTCATTTAGGTTTTGACAACAATTGATTCTTAATTAATATAAATTTTATACAAAAATTCTTGGTTACTATTTTCTAAAAAAAAATACAACCTTAAATCCCCTAATGATTCATTCAGTTCAACATTTACTCTTCTTTCTTCAATATACTTATCTCCTTTTTGCCGCTACAAGTTGTCCTTGCTCTTCAATAAGTCATCGCATCGTCATCCCCATCCCTGTCATCGTAACTCACAAGTCATTCATGCTCCTTTTTGTGACTCTTCAGTCGTCTCTATTGCTCATTTCGATAGTGCTTCCTCCTAAGAACCAAATCTCAACAATGCTCAACTAGTTGATGCTTGTTGTCATCAATCTCCTAAGTCCTCCTATCACTTATCATACTCGTGCATTCGTGACTCATAAACTAAACTCTATCCGATACACATATTATGCCCGTGCTCTTTGTTTTTCTCAATCTCTTAGTCCGATATCTCAATCCTTCAAGGTTCAATCTCATCTAATTTTGATTGAGTGTTTGTTGGTTTAACTGATTCATTGCTTATTGTCTTGCTATCATTTCATTTGTGTTTTTAATTTATTTAGATATTATTTAGTTAATTTTTTCATACCTTTTTTGATTGAGTATTATATTGAAATGAAGTAATTTTTTGTTTAATTAAAAAATCTTAAAAAAATAAAAATGGTTAAAAGGGCCTAGAGCCCACAAGTCTGGCTCTGAGCCCCCTATATTGAGGACCAGGCTTCATATATCAAAATCTTAAAAGAAACTCGAACATAAAAAAACTAACCTATTTTCCCAACTTTACAAATAAGCCTCAATTGTTGGTAAAAAAATTGACCCTCAATTATATAAATACTAAATTATTTATATTTAAAAAAGCACAATTTTTAATCCTTATAATTTTATCTGTTTGCTTTTAATTCATAATTTTTTTAATATTTTCAATCTCTATAATTTTAAAAAGATCACGTAATCTTTGTTTTTGAAATTTCTAAAGTTTTCATTTTTTCAATGGTTTACTAAAACACTAAAAAAGTTATTGGGACTAAAAGCAAAACTAAATGAAACTATGGAGATCAAAAATTATGTTTTTTCTATTTTAAATCAAGAATAGTTGGAAAAGAAATACTTATATTTTGAACCAAATGGATGAAGTACTTGAGAGCCTATATAAAAACCAAAACGAAATTTGCAGGACTTCAACGAGACTATCGCTGCTAGAGCTGTTTTCATGCCAGCTGGTATATCTAGCAAGGATAAGCTCGGCCACCGCTCATGGTGCAATTAAAAAAAAGCTGTTCAGGCTCTTTCTTCTGTGGCACCTACGGTAGATATCGGAGGTGTTTGGCCACCGAAAAGGGATTGGGGTTTTAGATCGTCCAGAAATCCCTTTTCTCAACATTCGTCAAAAAACTCAAGCAACTACAGTATTTTTTACTACATTGCCGATCAGGCACTTAACCTGAGAAGTACAAGAACATCCCTTTTAACAAAATGACACAATAAACACGATTCATTTACGTTCAAATGAAAGAAAATATGTATTGGGATTATTTTTCATTTGCAAGTATTGAGATAGTCAATAAAGCCATGAAGCCATAATGCTGTGTATAAGTTTGATTTACCAGCTACTATAAATTTACAAGCTAGTAGACGATTTAAATTTTCCATCTTACAGCTCCACTTATACCGCTTGTGCATACAATGAACAAGAATAATGATTCTGAACGTCATTCCTGCACCATTGTTATAGCAAGGAGGTAACCTAGCAAGATCTATCAGAAGCTGGAATGAAGATATTACCCTAAACTGTCCCATCTTCAGCTGCATTGCCATCTTTCCAACTGCCCAGTTTGACTATGTCTTCAACAAAAATTTTCCCATCTGTATCAACACAAATGGATGAGAACAGCGTGGCATGAAACTGTCAAAAAAAAAAAAAATGGAAAACATTTTTTTGGGGCTGGGGGGGGGGTTGAACTGGGAGGGTGTATGAGCAACAATATCCCAAACTCGCCAAATTAAGCCTACCGATGTTGACACAGGAACACACTAATTCCTCTTTCTATTTACACAGACAATATAATGGCGGCACTGTTCACAAGCCAATTTTCTATCTTGACTGCATTTTTGTCCTCTTTAATCTGTTTCGCTGTTAAATTTCCGCCCTACTTTCAGTCAGACACCAGTCCAAACGCTAGTTATTGAATAACTTATCAGGAGTCGTTTTAAGATGTAACATATAGAATAGTGAATACAATTAGTAATACTAAAGTTGTCCAAGGCAGTAGATGAAGCCCCCTAGACACGTTCCATAAGTAAGTAGAACATTAAGTACAAAAAGAAAAAGACAATGAAATGTGTAAAAAAAGAAAAAGTCTCCTCCTCACCAAAAAAAACTATGAATAATGACAACATAACAGATATGATATATCTCATTTCTTGCGCAATAAAAAGAGATTCATTTTCATTCCTATACCAAAGAGGCCCAGTGCCCTGGTTGGCCTAAGGCGGCAGGGCTGTTATTTGTACAAATTTAGAAGTCTATATAGATTTATTATCAAGTTCCAAAGGTCAAAATGTTGAAGAGCACCGCACCGGCAAATAGTTTATAATATATATATTTCACTGAGAGCAAAGAGTCTCCCTCCCACCTAAGTTGCTGCATACAAAAGGACTGAGATTCGAACCTCCAACAACTTGTTTAAATGATGAGAATCTTTACTATTTATGCTAACTTGAGTTGGTATCTTTATATTATTTTATCGTCACTCCTTTTGTTAAAAAATATAAGAAATTTTTTGCTGAGGTTGGAAATTCAAAAACATAGGACATTTTTGGCTTCTCAATGTGCAATTAATGAACTTTTTCCAAAAATACCCTTAATGAATAAATTAATCAACACTTCACCGTTTTTTTTTTTTTTTTAACAAGCTCAACCCTTCGCTTTTAAATGAGACACAATTAAATAAAAACAAACATGGAAAGATGCCATCGGTGTAAGAAGAACTAACTAATTTAACAGAGGGATGTAATTCAGTTACAAATGCATTATATTTTCTAATGGAGGGGGTTTTTTTTGGTCCCAATACCTTTAGTGTGTTTTGATATTAGTCCCTATACTTTTATTTCGTTGTTTCAAATCCCTTAAATTTTATCTATTTGCAAAGTTAGTCCCTGTACTATTAAATATCATCATAAAGACTAAACAATGACTAACATTTGCACAAACTGTTGCTTCTTGTAGTAGTTAAAACTGTGATGAGTTGTATAAAAAATGAATAGAAGATAAAAAACCAAGGATGGCATTATATTAGAATTCTTAAATGTGTAATGGATGAAACTTCAGAAAGGAAAAAAAAAAATGTCTAGGTTGGGAAGGATTAGTAGCCAATTTGCTCATACAATGTCCAGTAATTTTATCAACTTGCCAACACAATCAAAAAGATTTATGTACACATCAACAGATTTAACTCTACCAGCGATAATAAGGACTAACATTGAAGACATATGAAACTTAAGAAATATGGAATAACAAAGTATGGGGACCAATATCAAAACACATTAAAAGTATAGGGACCAACAATTGTATTTTCTCTATTTCTTGCCAGGGAAAGTCTTGCTATAAGACCACAGGAGGAAGTTTATTTCAAATCAATCCCATAAAATTCTAAAAACTCACTGCAGAACCAAGAAATCAAATTGAAATTATGTCTTGTAGGAAAATGACCAAAATGCCTTTAAATTGTTTCTTTTTTAAAAAAAAAAAAAAATCCATCCATCGTTGTTGGAGCTTCAGTGGTCAGATCACCGCTAGTAGAATTAATTCCTTAAAGGTAAGGAGGGAATTTGAACCCATAACCTCTTGATTCACTAGAAGATATATAACCACCAAGTTATTGATGCCTTTTGATTATACAGTGCCAAATATAATATATAGTCTAACCTAAACTTTTAAAAAAAGACCAAGTAAATTGTTAATAATGTTACTTGTTAATTTAATAGCGAAACTTGTTTATAGTACTCTCTACATATTCAACTTTGCTAACTTGTTAAAAATCTTAAATTATTATTTTACTAATGTCATTTGCTAATTTACTAGCAAAACTTGTTGAAAGCACCCTCAACATATTCAATCCTGATGACTTGGTAAAACCCTAATTTAACAAGTTAATTTACTAATAGCACTTGTTAATTCATTGATGAAACTTGTTGACAATACCCTCTAGCTACATATTCAATCCTGCTTGTTAAATGAACAAGTTAAGTAAGGATTTTAACAACCAAAATTGAATATGTAGAGAATATTATCAGCAAGTTTCACCAATGAATTAACAAATACCATTATTGAAATAACACGTTAAATTAGAGTTCTAATAAGTTAGCATGATTGAATATAGAAAGTATTATCCATAAATTTTGTTAGTAAAGTAACAAGTTGCATTAGTGAATTAAAAAATGAAGTTAAAGTTTTAACAAATCACTAGGATTGAATATGTAGATGGTACTATGAAAAAAATTTGCTAGTGCATTAACAAATAACATCAGTAAAATAATAATTAAAGTTTTAATAAGTCACCAGTATTGAATATATAGAGGGATTGTTAGCAAGTTTTGCTATTGAATCAATAAGCAGCATTAGTGAATTAACAAGTGAAGTTTGGGTTCACAAGTCACCAGAATTAAACATATAGAAGGTATTGTTAACAAGTTTTGCTATTGAATTAATGAATAGCATTAGAGAATTAACAAATAAAGTTTGGATTTCAACAAGTCATTAGGATTGAGCATATAGAGTATTATTAACAAGTTTCGTTATTGAGTAAATAAGTAGTATAAGTGAATTAATAAGTGGAGTAAGGGCTTTGACAAGTTATCAGGATTATGTAAAGGATACTGTCAACAATAGGTAACATTAGTGAATTGACAAGTAACATTGTTAACAAGTTTACTTAATCTTAGTTTAGAAATTCAGGTTATGTTATATATTATATTTAACACTATATAATTAAGAGATATCAATAGTTTGGTGGTTATATCTCTTTTGGTGATTTAAGAAATTATGGGTTCACACCTTTTTGATCACCTTTAAAGAATTAATTTTGCTAGCAGCCACTAGAGCTTCGGTAGCAATGGTTTAGTCTCCAGGCTCCGACGATGATAGATGGAGTTTTTTTTTTTTGAAAAATAATTGAAAGGAATTTTCGTCATTCCTCTTTAAAGCATATTTTCAATTAAGTCATTTGGTTCTATAATGAGTTTTCATAATTATTTAATCTTGATTTGATATGAAGTCCCATAATTGGTCTTGTAATGAAATTCGCCCTTTTTATTATTTGTAACATCTTATTATCTATTTTGTTTGTTAATCTGTATAGATAGGATGAGATAATTAAATATACAATATCTATTAAGATTTTAACCTAGGTTTAAACTTAAGAACTATAAGACACTTGTTGACTTGTTATGTACCAAATTATTTAGAACAAAATTAACAAACTAGGCACCATTGAAAACTAGCCATTTGCTACACAAAAGATATCTTGCATGTTGTTCAAAGTTTATGGGATGCTATACAATCCAGCTCAACTAAAATGAGTGCTATTTCATTTTACTTTTTGCAACAAAGCCATATTATCATGATAATTATGATGTAGAGAAAACTGCCTATATTAATAGCCGGTCTCAAATTCAGGTAAAGGAGGAGGGTTATGTTAGGCCATTAATAGTCAATGAAAAACTTTTGTTGAATCTCACATGGATACAAACAATATACACTTTGTTCTAATGTTAGATCGCTGCCTGTAAGTAACGATGTATGCCTCAAGTGCAGTGATAAGTGAGTTAGAGGCATTGTATCAATGCTTGAATATAGTGTTAAATGAGCAAGGACTAGCATGTTATTTTGGACAAGTATGAATAAAGAAGTTAGTTCAAGTGAGCAAATCAGATTTAATACTTGAAATGTTGGGACCTTGACTTGTAAATCTATGAAAGTAGTATGATTCATAAAAAAATTAATACCTTGTACTTGCAATCAATTAAATGGCCTGGAAAACAATCTAAAGATATTCAAGGTTTTAAAATTTGGTAAATAGGGAAAGTAAGCATACGGAATGAGGTGGGTATTATTGTTGATGAGGAGTGAAACAAGCACGTGGTAAAGTTAATAGAATTGGAGATAGAATTATTTTATTAAAAATGATCATTAGAGGTGAGGCTATCAATATTATTAATGCTTATGCACCTTAAGCTAAGGGCAAAAGCCAATCTTTAAGGAATTGTTCTAAGCAGATTAGGAGGGGTTGATACATACCACAAAGTGAAAAAATCTTTATTAGAGGTGACTTTAATAGTCATGTTGGGAGGCAGGCAGATAATTATGTAAGGATGTATGATGGTTTTGGTTTTAGGCAACTAAACACTGAACGAAAATCAATTCTTGATTTCTCTTTGATGTATGATCTCAACATTGTCAACAACTGCTTTAAGATGAGGGATGAACATTTCATTACCTATAAGAGCGAAGCCTCAAGGTCATAAATTGATTTCTTTTTGGCAAGGAACACATATAGAAAACTTTGTGAAAATTATAAGGTGATTCACGAGGATAGCGTAACACCACTACATAGGATCCTTGTCCTTGATAGGCATATCATGAGTAAAAACAAAAAATGCTAACAAGTGGTAAATCAAAGGATTAGGTGGTGGCAGTTAAAAGGTGAAAAGCAGGAAATTTTGAAGAGGAATCTTTTGGCTAAAGGAATTCGAGAGTTCTAAGGAAATGTTAGCATTTTGTGGGAGAATATAGCTAAAAACTAAGGAAGGTTGCTAAAGAAATTTTGGGAGTCAAAATATAAGGACTGCTTTAAAGCCATAATTTGTACAATAATCATGAAAAATTAAGAAAGGCATCATATGGCTAAGAAGGCAACTAAGAAAGTTATGAGCAAAGCTCGTTTTAAAGCATTTTAAGAGTTTTACAAGAGTTTAGGAATAAAGGATGTAAAACAAAAAATTTATAAAATTATTAAGAGTAAGGAAAGAAAATTAAGAAATTAGGAACAGGCAAGGCACATAAAAGATGAAAAAGGAAGAGTTTTGATTATAGATGGTGATATTAAAGATAAATAGGATAACTACTTTTACAAACTTTTTAACGATAGAGGGGACTCGTCTAGTAACTTGAAAGATTTAGTAACTCATAAAGAAAAACAGAATTTGTTATTCTATCGAAGGATACGTGATAATGAGATAAAGGAAGCTCTTCAGAAAATGACAAATGGTAGAGCCAATGAACCTGATCGTATTCCAATTGAAGTATGAACCAAGTAGGGCGACTGCAGAAACGATTTATCTATTAAGAGGAGTAGTAATTTGAAAGTGAAATTAGAAGATTAGATTATATCTCAAGTGAAAAAATTTAGATATTTGGAAACCAATATTCAACATGATAAGGAAATTGATGGTGATGTTGCATATAGGATAGATGTTGTGTGATTTAATTGGAGAAAAGCTTAAAGAGTTATTTATGATTGAAATATACCTAAGAAACTTAAAAGAAAGTTTTATCGAACTGTTATAAGACCAGCTATATTACATAATAGTAAATGTTAGGCTTTAAAAGGATAATAGGAGCATAAAAATGAAATAGCAGAGATGATAATGTTGAGATGAATGTGAGAGCATGTATGTAAAGATAAAATTTGAAATGAGCAAATACAAGAAAAAGTACACATAGTATCTAGTGAGAGAAAAATGATAGAGAATCCTTTGAGATTATTTGGTTATGTACATAAAAGACCGTGGGAGGCACCAATTAGGAGAGTAAAAAGGATAATTTTGAACCTTGTAAAAAAAGGCAAAAGAAATACCAAAAAAAAACACTTATGGAAAAAGTTGACTAAAACCTCTTGTTTAATATTTCTAAAAACTTGATAAATGATAGAACACAATGGCATAATACAATTCATACAGCCAATCCCACCCAATGGGATAAATTTTGTTATTGTTGTTGTTGTAACCATGATGTAGAACATGAGGTACTGAAAAATTTTATAATGAAAGAACTCAAGCCTCCAAATTATTGCAAATCCTATGCCCAAAAATATACACAGAAGAAGACCATTAATTGAGACATCAGTGATGGCCAGACTAGTTGCTGGTTGGCCATCTCCCATACAGGGGAAATTTCATGATATATTCACAACAATTTATTCCCAGTATTTTACTTTAATTAAAAAAATGAATGAGAGCAGACAATGGATGGAATTAGTAAGCAATACAAGATCGGAGAACAAGATGACAAACCTCTATCTTTAGAAAGATTGCTTATGAGTTCTTGAATTCCCTCCTTGTCCAAAGTATCCTTCAAGTAAATTGCAGCTGTTGCTACCTCATCAGGAGTCACTTTCCCATCATAATCTCTGCAAACAATCAATAATAATACTACAATAATGACTACATTGAAGCACTGTAACTATTAACATTAAATGAGTACATACAAAAAATCATTAAGATGTGGTCTGTTCAACAAGTCCAATTCCCAGCCAATTTTAGGGCTATTTCTCTTCATCGATAGACCTTAAAAATAGCCTTGGCCCTAAATAAAAGAAGGGTTAGCCAAATCAAGAAAGTGTTCACCAACCATGTTAAGCGTGAACGAGAAGAGAGAAGAAGAGAGGAAGTAAGAGACTATTCCATTCATGAAAAACAAGGAGACAGGGCACAGTAACATATACTCTAAACCTAGACACGTGTCACCCCAAAAGGTAAAGTCCTATACCGTCAATATCTACCTAGAATTCAGCAGCATATTCAAGACAATAACACCATAGCACATAAAGACGATAAAGCCCTTATATAAAGTAGTAACATATAACAATACTCCCCTTTTAAAAAAAATCCTCATCCACAAGGATGGAAGTAGTAGCTGGTGCATCAGCATTGAAGTGAGGGAATTGTTGCTTGATGGCTGAGAGGTCCTCCCAAATGGCATCTTCTCGTTGGGAAAACTTCCAACGAACCAAAATTTGGGTCATAGGTAAATTGAGACACTTAACAATCTTCCAACCCAAGATCTTGTCCGGTTCTAACATAAGTTGCCCTTGATCATCAACTTGGGGCAAATTAGCATTAGGAGAAACATCTGGATGAACAAATTTTTTCAATAAAGAAATGTGGAATACTAGATGAACTCGAGTGCTAGGAGGTAAATCCAACTCATGTGCAATAGTCCCGATACGTTTCACCACCCTGAAAGGCCCAAAACAACGTGCTTCCAGCTTATGAAAGGAAGAATTATTCAACAGATTTTTTCAAAAGGGGTGTACTTTAAGGAAAACCACGTGCCCCATAGCAAAATGGTGTTTAGATCTGTGCTTGTTAGCTTGTTGACTCATTCTATGTTGGGCCTTCAACAAGTGTTGCTTCAAAATCTGTATAGTGAGCTCTTGAGAAATGATCCGATCAACCATGTCATTGGGTGAATCACTCACTACATAGGGTAAATAAGTGGGAGGAGGTACCTTGTACACTGCTTCAAAAGGAGTCATCAAAGTTGAAGAATAATATGTGGTGCTAAACCATAACTTGGTTGGTGGGAGACATTTAGCCCATTGCTTAGGAAAATCTTGATAGAGCTAGTGATTCCCTAAAGATTTGGATACCATTTCCTCAGACCTATGGTAGACAATCTAGGAAGGGAAGTGATTTAGAAAAGGCTGAAAACCAATGGTCAAGAGATTTATCCCAAGGTTTTTATCTATAGGATTAAAAGGGTAAAGGACAAGTTAGGTTATAGGTATAGCCAAAGATATAGGTAGTGTTGGTAGGGGCAATTACCACTTTCTGGCGTAACCAAGGAATAGGGTTTTATTGTGAATTAGGGAGGTCTTTTGTAACTCTGATTCAGTTCATCTTCTTAATATTAAAACCTCAAGATTTCCCTTACATTTTGTCTTTGTTGTGTTATTTCCTATGTTCTTAGCTTACTAAACTAGTAGGGTTGTATCAAACCCCCTATCATGCAACAGTGATAACATACAAACAGCAATTCAACACTTTAGATTGGCCATCAGTTTGTGGATGACAAACTGAAGAAAATTGTAATTTGACCCCATACAATCGAGAGAGCTCCTTCCAGAATTTCCCACAAAGAATCAAATCCCAATCAAAAACAATAAATAGGAAAGCCATGCAACTTGACAACGTTATCCATAAATATACTAGCGACGTTCACAAGAATAAAAGGATGTTTGAAAGTCATAAAATGAGCAGCCTTAGACAATTGGTCAACAACCACTAAATAGCAATTTTAGAGTAAGACTTGGGAAGACCACTAATAAGATTCATAGAGAGCTCAGACCAAACATATTTAGGTATGGGTAAGGGCTAAAGAAGTCAGGGGAATCTACCAACTCAGGCTTGAAGCACTAACAAGTGGTGCATTGGCATTTGGCACACAAAATTGCAAACATCCCTCTCCATCCCTTTCTAATAGAAGAAAGAAGCAAGGTGTTTGCAAGTAGTTGCTATACCTGAATGTTTGCCTATGCCACTAGCATGAACAAAAGTAAGCAAATCTCCCTGAAGTACGTGATCAACTCCCACAACAAGCTTACCCCTTTGTTTCAGCAAGTGATGTTCCCAAGCGTATTTAGGATTAGACAATGAATCATTCTCCAAGGTCATAATAAGCTTCTGCAAAATATCATCAAGAAGCCAAAAATCTCACACTTTATCATCTAGAGGTGAAATAGGCATCGAAATAGCCAAACAAGCTCCATCAGAACGCCTAAAAAGGGTGTCATGTGCTAAATTATCAGAACCCTTGCAATAAACTATTTCATAGTCCAATCCCCATAGCTTATGAAGCCACTTACATTGTTCCTGGCTTAAATCCCGCTGCTCTAGAAGGTGTTTCAAGGGTAAATGGTTGGTTTTCATGATGAATTACCCCAAAGATAAGATTCGCCACTATTTAACAACAAAAACAATAACTAGAAGCTCTCGCTCATAGGCGGATAATGGCTTCTTACGAGCAAATAGTGCCTTGCTAGAAAAAGCCAAAGGATGGTCATTCTGAGATAATATAACTCCCAAACCATGCCTTGAAGCATTAGTCTCAAGAACAAAGGTCTCACTAAAATTAAGAAGCGCAAGAACCGGAGGGGAAACCATTGCAGTCTTGAGAGACTCAAAAGCAAGTTGAACCTATGGTGACCATGAAAAATGCTCATTTTTCTTCAATAACTCAATAAAAGGTTAGCAAATAGAACCATAATTCTTGATAAAGCCTCGGTCAAGAAAACCCCACAGGTCCTTAAGAGAAGAAGGTATTAGCCAAGTGGTAATTGCTTCGAGCTTCTTCGGATTGGCGTGAATGCCGTTGGCTGTGATGATATGGCCAAGATAATCAATCTGAGTGGTAGCAAAAGTGCATTTGGATGCTGTTAAAATGTGTAGATACAACAACAACAAGCCTTATCCCACTAAGTGGAGTCGACTACATGGATTATATGACGCCATTATGCTCTATCATTTATTAAGTTTTTAGGAATGTTATTAATTAAAAAGTCTCGCTCAACAACCTCCAAAAGTGTTCTCTTAGGTCTTCCTCTACCCTTCTTGACAGGGCTCAAAGTTATTTGATTCACTCTCCTCATAGGTGCTTGTTAAAATGTGTAGATAAATAGTGTAAATTTATTTTATTTCTTTAATAGATAGATTAATTGGTGGTTAGTGGTTAGTGGTTAGCATTTATTACACCATGTGGATGTACTCTTATAAATAGCTAGCTTTTGTAAATTTGAAAAGTGAAAAATATTAGAGTTTTCTTTCACCAAATCTGTCATGGCATTAAAGCCACTATGAGATTTGGAGTTCTTTTTAGGTTGGGTTCGTTTTTTGCATTAGGGTTTTAGTTTTTTTTTTTTTTTGCGTTAGGATTCTAAATAGTCAAACCCACTACTGCTGGAGACTATTTCGCCCACACGCGCTGGACCACCGTCTCCGCCTGCCACCAACCAGCCGAATCTAGAAGTCCAACCGCCATGCGCCGCTCGACTAAATCTACCCAAGGCCGCGTTTTCAGCGCGTCTAGGCCTTGTTTAGCCTCCGGTCACTTCCATTTTGCTCGAAATCTCCTCTCCTTGTTTTAGTCATGTTCGACAAAAAAAAAAACACACATCTGACAATACTGGGTCTTCCTTGTTTAAGGTTTTTAAGGCGCTGCCAAATGCTCTGGTTGCTTATTGATTGACTGGAGCCAACTTTTTATCTTGGTCTCAGTATGTTCGTACTTCTTTAAAGGGTCAAGGGAAGCTTAGTCGTTTACTCGGGACCGGTCCTAAGCCAGGAGAACTTAAGTTTGATGCTTGGGATGAAGCTGACTCAACAGTAATGTCTTGGCTGTGGCAATCTATGGCTCCTGAAGTTAGTCACACGTGTTTGTTTCTGTCCTCGACTAAGGAGATTTGGGATGCAGTGCACCAGACTTACTCAAAGGTTAAGGATGCTGCCCAAATTTATGAGATATGGACCAAGATTTCCAATACCAAACAAGGCAGTAAATCTATCACCAAATACTCTACCCTTATGAAGAGTTTGTGGCAAGAATTAGACCACTATCAGTGTATTACTTTGAAAGACCTTGATGATGCAGCTACCTTTAAATGCTTCATTGAAAAGCAAAGAATTTTTTAATATCTTGCTGGGTTTACTTCAAAATTTGATCTTATAAGAGTTCAAATTCATAGTCGAGAAGATGTTCCCTCTCTCAATGAGACCACTGCCATTGTATTAGTAGAAGAAGGCCGTCGAGGAGTGATGATGGAAACTCCATCCGCGGAAAGCTCTGCCTTGGTTTCAAGGAATGTTGCTTCTTATTTTGTGGAAAATGAGAAACAAGGGGACTCTTCCAAGAAAGAACCTATTCAATGCTCTCATTGTAAGAAGCTGTGGCACACCAAGGAGAAGTGCTGGAAGCTGCATGGTAAGCCTCCAAATATGAAAAAGGAGCAAGCTCATACGGCGATTGATTTTACCGGGGAGAATTCTAGTCAGACTGACCTTAAGGGGGAGATTGAGAAACTAAGATCTATACTAGAGTCACTTGACAAGGCGACTACTTCTGGTTTTGGTTAGTGGTTAACATTTATTATACTATGTGGATGTACTCTTATAAATAGCTAGCTTCTGTAAATTTGAAAAGTGAAAAATAATAAAGTGTTTTCTTTCACCAAATCTGTCAGGTGCCTTAGCAAATAACTAATGCTGTCACAAGAGCATTTAAGTGATCCACAAATGATCCAAGTGGCTGGCCAATGTTTGCTATAGACCAAGATGTCATCAAAGAACACCAACACAAATTGTCGCGAGAGAGGTTTGAAAACCGAATTCATGAGGCCTTGAAAAGTGGCAAGAG